ATATCTTCAGTCTGATACCTTTGCTACTTCATGACTAAATGTACGTCATATCTTCAGTCTGATACCTTTGCTACTTCATGACTAAATGTACATCATATCTTCAGTCTGATACCTTTGCTACTTAGTGACTAAATGTACGTCTTATCTTCAGTCTGATACCTTTGCTACTTAGTGACTACATGTACATCTTATCTTCAGTCTAATACCTTTTCTACTTCATGACTACATGTACATTTAATCTTCAGTCTGATATCATTGCTATTAAATAAATACATGTACATCTTATCTTCAGTCTGATACTGTTGCTACGTAATGACGACATGTACATCTTATCTTCAGTCTGATACTGTTGCTACGTAATGACGACATGTACATCTTATCTCCAATCTGATACCGTTGCTATTTAGTGCCTAAATGTACATTTTATCTAGATTTGGGTACCCTCGCTATTTATTGGCTAAGTTGATCACCACAGTATACACTTGCAGATACCTGATTTTTAAGTATTAAAGAGTCCAAGTAATCTGGTTGTGTGTAGTGCCTGTTTATTTAACTCTTCTTCAGCACGGTCTAGATCCCTGGGACCGACCTCCTGACCATTTTGTGCTTGTTATAGTTTTCATACTATAACTTTTAGATTAGTAAGCAAATGTTAATGAAATTTGGTACATTATCAGTAAACATTACAATGCTTTCATATGCAAAATATCAAATTTGTTTAATGTCCAGATAGTTATCTAACGAGTGTCTGTACGGGTTTGGTAGATTTGACTGATCTCATAACCACCATAAAAAAATTAAGAAATAAATATAAATTATGCCTCTTTTATTCTAGAATGAACACAAAAACATAAATGTTTAGACTAAATAACTTAAATCTCATAACATTATACATTTATATATATTTATTATTATATTGACCTTTCATCCATGCCTGGCTAACAATACAGAAGTTACAATGATGCAGCACACGTGCATTCATGTTACTGTATCCAATAACATAAAAGTGACCTTTGGTCTATACAAAGTAACTTTTCTTGGCTGTTTTAGTAGACTAATATTTTGTAAAATACAGTCACATTTCAGTTATTATACATTATATATGTATATGGGCCAGGTGGTTAGGGAGCTTGACTCATAATCTGAGGGTCGCGGGTTCGAATCCCCTTGGAGGTTGGCATGTTTGGTGTGACGCCTTTGCCTGGTCCCAAGTCCAGGATGAGAAAGGAGGAGGGTTGGGCGTGGGACTAGCAACTCCACCCCGTAAAAACCAACCTGCTACAAGTAACTGCAACAACAACTTCCACTGGGAGTTTACAGGGAAGAGAAGAAGATGATGATGAAAAAGAAGGAAAAAAAAAAAAAAGAGCTAACTCTTAGGCTATTCTTTAACAACGAATAATGGGATTGACCATCACATTATATTGTCCCCCATGGAAGAAAGGGTGAATATGTTCAGTGACAAGTGTTGATCCTACAACCCGCAGATTGTGAGGTAAGTACCCTAACCAGCTGGTCTCCCAAAAAATCATCACGTCAAATTATGTGACTAAATACTTTATCATCATGAAAAAAAAAATCAACTTTACCTAAAAAACAAGAAGTAACTTGTACAACTTTAATAACTGTATTACATTTCTTTTCTGATGGGACAAGTTCAGTATCTAAGTTGTTAACTGACAGTGCTTTTAGCAGGCAGCTGCTGCTAAAGTGTTTTACAGTTAATATATTACATGAAAACTGTAACAGTATATGAAACACTATTATATCCTCTATGTACAGGGTATTTAAAAACCTTACAGCAAGAACACTACATTTGTATCTGTTTTTTCATATTAAACACGTAGTAATAATAAAATACCACACAGCCCAGTTAGACCAATATTTAAGTAATTCAAGTCTTAAAGAAGTCAGTGGCAGGTCTTGATAAAATAAATATTTCCATTTTAATTTTCACAACTATATTTTTAATTCCAAAAGCTGAACATATTTGCATTTAACATCTGAAACGAGTAAACATTCTAGTATGTTTTTTTTTCAATATATGATCTCATTATTAAATAATAAGGCATACAGCTATCAATATATAAGATCATTGTCGAATGGAATGTTTGTGAAGATATTTCTACACTCAATATTATAAATATATTTTCTTTAACAGAATATAAAGCTAGCTTTGACGAAAAAAAAGTAATATATATATATATAATTTTAATCTTAGTTATTAAATCCAAATAATCAGGTTAAGAATAATCTTACTATAATAGATGTAGTGTGTATGTCAGTATCTATGTATGTAACCAAAACTCCTGCACCATTTATTGAATGGCACCATAAACAAAAATCCATTAAAAAATTCACACTTTAGGTATTCAAGATTCAGACAACTAGAAAAAATAACTGTGGTATGTGCAACAACCATTTCTTTATAATAGAACACAATCTTAAATAAAAGTACACTCCTCACAACAAGAACATGACTTTCACTAGGACTGTACGTGAGGGTGTAATTATATCTTTATTGATGTAATTTGTAAATATAGTACTAAGAAACTAGCATTCTTAAAATAAAACAAAACAAAAAAGCTTATTTTTTCAATAAGTGGTACCACTTTTAATACATAAAAACATTAGTTTAATACTACGATTAGTAATTACTAGCACAAACAGCTACCCTACGGGTGGTGTTTCATACTAATAACACTAAAATCAATTTGTTTAAAACACTAACTATGTTAACTATTATCCATCATGCCAAGCTTCATTATACAATGGTATATGCATATATATATAATTAAATGTAATTTCATGAGAGAGAGAGAGAGAGAGAAAAAAAAACAATCGTAGCCACAATACAAACATCCAACACCTGGGCACAAATCATAAGGTGGGTCACCAGGTAACATGCCTGGGTTTTTAGAGGTACTGGCGGAAGTAAAACCCAAACTGCATTGGGGATACATTGTCTATCCAGTTTAATCTCAACTTCACTGGCCTCACATGATTAAGAAAATAAAATAAAAATACTGAGCAGATGTGGGTGCTCTAGTCCACAATGTCCCACATTTTACTGTCTGCAGTAAGATGTGGGATGGTGGTTGCTCACAAGAAAGAAAAAATAAATAAAAAAGCAGGAAGAAATAATAGAATACATTACATCAATAGGGGAGACAGCGAAACTGTCCTTAAAGTTAGCATTCCTGCCCACAATGTGATGTTTCGACATAAATACCAAGATGCTAAGGTAAAATAATACAAAGCCCAACCAATATTATAACTCATATCCTCCACCTTTGCATGCTACTATCTGGATCTTCAATGGCTCTAAAGGGATCCACACAGTGGCAGGATTTATACAGGGAAGGTGATATAATTACCACTATATTAATCTACCTATACAAGATACAAAGTGTCCAATAAGTAATAGTAAAGAGAATTACAATATTAAATTCTGTTATTTACTAGGATTTTGTACTTTTCTGTTTAAGTGTAATATCAACTATTTTTAAAGAATAAGTTTAGAAAATATTGTATTATTTGAATAAATATTTACAATATCACAAACAATAATGTGACAGCATTGCTTCTTTAATCTTAATAAAGGTTTCTTTTTATAGTTCATATATGTGCAAGATAATTCTATATAGCTTATTGGTATTTATTAAATCTTTAAGTTTTAACGAAATAATTTTTTCAATCACAAAAGTTTAACACGACATGCTTCCATTGAATCAAAAAGTTGTTACAAGATTACTCCTTAAATATACATACAAAATTAAATTTTTCCCAAAGTAAAGAAACGTATTCTTACCTAAGGCTTAATAAATTTTCAACAAGCAAGTCTTTGTTTTTTATTTGATTTTAAGAAAATACACTGTAAAGCAATTAAAAATAGTTAAATGATACTTTTCCTATTTTTTCCCCACGGTACATCTAAGCAAACGTTTTTACTTTGTTTTATAGTTTAATATCAAATTTATAATTGTGAGTTTACATACCGTGTGTAGATTATCACTTGAATAATCTTTAGTGTGATAACTTCCCTCACAAAATTCACAATTTTGTATTTACTACCAACCCTTATACCTGTAAATTAAACCATAAGACAGTTAAAAACCACAAATGTAAATTTTTTTATGTACAACATGTTAAAATGCCAAACTTAATTTACTTCACTGTTATCTATTGTTATAAATAGGCAGAGGGTGTGCTTCCGTATTAAAAACAAGTTTATCCAATGAAAGCAATTCTTGTTTGTCACTAAACAGAAGATAAAAATATTTCAAAGTCTCTCCGAGGAAAAAACTTTCCATGAGGTCACGGGGACGTACAAAGAGAGGATTTCGCACATCTCCAATTGTGGTGTAACCCCCCGTTTTAACTTTTGTATAACGTTCAAATGCTTGAAAAATGTTCCATCCCCACCTGCGATATGTCTCATTACGAGTGAAGTAATACATATACCACAAGCTTTCAACAGTTTCAGGGCGTAAGAGGTTATGGGCATCATTGCTCTGCAAGTGAAACAAAAAAAAATTGTAAGAAACTGAGAAAATGAATGGTACATATGTTCAAACACAACACTAAAGTAATTAAAATGTCAAAGTTTTTGAATGTCATTACAGTGTTCAACTTAAACTGGTGCAAGCTAAAATACAGATTAAATTTTGAGGAAATTTGAAAACTTCTAATCATCCAAAAACAAGTTATGATTTCTAAACAGGTTCTGTGAGCAGAAAAGGAGATTCATATTATAATCTCTGTAAAATAACTTTTGTTTCCTGATCTTGCATTGAATAATGTACATTGAATTGTTGGAAAGGGTTCAGAGAAAGGTCACTAGTAAGGTGCCTGGGATGGATGGTTTGTTATATGAGGAGAGGCTGAAATCTGTAAAATTGTTTTCTCTTGAAAAAAGAAGAGTTAGAGGGGATCTGATCAAGGTGTTTAAAATTATAAAGGGAATTGATAGCGTTGATGCATCATCTTTTTCATATTTAACAGTGAGAATAATAGGACTAGGGGTACACAAATATAAATTTTGGTAAGATAGGAGTCATCTTCAGCTAAGACAGTTTCATTTTTCCAACAGAGTGGTTGACTTTTGGAATGGGTTATCTTTGGATGTTGTAGAGGCAGTAAATTTAAGTGAGTTTAAGAAAATGCTTGATAAGTATATGAATGATAAAAGCTGGGTTTAAGATGTTTTTATTTTTAATTATTTTAATTTAGTTTAGAGGATGGAACAGCCTAGATGGACCAATATGTCCCATGTTGTCTCAAAACATTATTTTATGTTACCGAGTTGTTTACGGCTTTCTAATCAGATGCAACAAAATATGGACAGATCATTCTTACTGAATAATACTTGAACTGATTTGTCAAATCAACAACACCTTGAGCCCCACAAGGACATCTTAATAAGTTCAGGTCTCAATTATTTACTGTATGAAAAAAAAAAGGCTATCTGAATGTAATAAATCTTATTACAAACTTCTTTTTAGTCTTATTTGTAGATCATAAAGATTTATGAATTATTAGATACATTTTGTACAAGACGTGAGCAACAATATCCAATGTCTGAGTGAATGTAAAATAATGATAACATCTACCTTTAAAGAGTATTACTTGTAAAAGTCTTTTTAATGAGATGTATTTCAAGACACACCTTAATAATGATATCTGAACCTCCTCCGTCTTTCATATTGAAGTATGCTATTTCAGGACTAAGAAATGTTGCAGTACTGGCATACATTTGATAGCATGTTTCCATGAGTTGCTCAGCAAGCCTTTGGTGGGAGGTAGGCATTCCGTAATGATAACCGAGAATCAGGGTACCAGACAGAAAGCAAACTAAATGGTCCTAAGACACAGTAAAAAAAAATAATTATCTCTAAACCAAAAAAAATTTTCAAACAAAATTATAGAAATACAAGCTTATAAAATACAGTCAGAAATAAAACTATTTTATTATTATTTTACAGAAATGTATTTACAGGTCTTAAGGGTCTTTGCAGAAATAAAATAAAGGACACAAAGTATGTATCACAGTAAAGGGATCGTATATATATAATTTATTTCATGCATTTAAAGGGATGTGATGCTTTTTAGTTAGTTGATTTCAAAATTAATCTTAACCATCTGGTTTTGTTAAGAACTATGTAGTTTGAGTTACAACTAGTTTGTTGTAACTATGTTACATTCAGTTATTAACAGTGATAGAGTTGTGTATTCTACATTTAGACGTTTGGTACTGAAATGTAGCAAAAAAAATTATTTATCTAGCATTACAAATATATATTTTTTTTCTTATGGTGTACATATAACTAATTGAAATAGACTTGTAAACAAATAAAATATAAACTCTTAACTTGTACAACATATTTTCAATTCCAAAACTAAGCATTTTAAACTATATTAAAAAGAAATTAATTATTTTAATGGACATTTCCTGAATTTTTAGGAATTAATTAAATTTCACGTAACTTTCAGCTCTACAAACCAAATTAAGGGTGCCAAAAAAGTACATAAAAATTTAAACTCTTAACTAAATAACTGTTGATCTAACATGAATATCTAAGTAAAACAAGAAAACAATTGGAGGATCATCAGAAGAAAAAAAGTTACAAATCTAATTTATCATCGAGCAGGTTTTGTTTTAAATCTGTGTACCAAGTAGATAAAAGGCATATAAACCTGACCTTAACAACTAACTTGACATAACAAATATGTTTAAGTACATCAAACATACTTTCTGTTAAAAAAAATAATTGTGAAAGCTATTTTCAGGAATGCTAATAAGATGTTAACGTATAATGAGCAGTTAATACTATCAGAAGTTTCTTAGATTAAATAAATTATATGGATACATGGCTATTAGAAAACACTATGGAGACACGATACAATTATGGACTTGATGTATTCCCATTCTGAAAATACTACAAGATTTATATAAAGTGAAACATATGTTCTATTTTATTTATATAATGAGGGGGTGACAATGATTTGTTCATGAAAAATCAGGCCTAATGTTTTACTACAATTACAAGCCCACAGAAAAGTTAAAAATTAAATTTCACAAATTCTTCCCATTTTAAACAGTATTAGGCATCCATGCAGAATGAAAGATAAAATACATATATGAATTAGATTTTATCTGTCTTGAATGAATAAATCACTTTGTTAAAGCTTTAAGAACACAAATCAGATACGAATAACAAACAAAATAAACTGTATGTATAAACTCAAAAGTACCAAGTCAAACATTTTGGTTCAGAAAAAGCTACAAGTACAAAAAAAATGCAGTAAACTATATAGATAATGACACACAAGAAAAAAACAACAAAAAAACCTGCCATTTTTGGACTGTAGTTTCTTCCACTCAAGAGCTCACCTACAAAAACCAATTGCTTTGGTTGACTTTTCCGAACGAGGTTTTTCATGACTCCTTCTACTGCTTCCATGTAATCTTCTTTTAACCTGTTCAAAAACAATGAAACAAAATTTACCTTCAAGTTAATCACAGAATAATTCTACCAGGTTATTTAGGAAATAAAAAAAACATATCACTTTACTGGTAAACTAAATTAATCGGGTTTTATACATCATGATTATAGTTTGAAGAATAAAGAAAAGGAAAGTGTTAAAAAGTACAACAAACAAATAAAGGAATGCTGGTTCTGTTCTGCAGATGGTCTAAGTGACGACTATTTACACGAAACGTTATTTGATATTTTATGGAAAAGTATTAACTTGGCATTGTTCAACTGATCAAAAACTATGTTTACAAAAGGTAATCTGGCTAATCAATAAACTGGAATTTATTGAATGATACAAACCTTCAGCTTAAAGACTACTATAATACAAAGACCATTTCAATATTATTTCCACCTCAATATTTACATTTTCTTGCATCTCAAAACTGTATTATTTTCTCAAAATATCAAACCAATCCATGCTGCTGACATTAATACAAGGACTTATTGTAACAAATTACTTGCTTATGACATTAAGAACCTATTATACTAATTTTACACAAACAATATAACATTACTTTTAAGTGCGATTTTAATTCACAGTCACTAGGGTTAACAATATAGGTAAGGCAGTATATGCTTTACCAAATCATTTGAATAGTAACACAAAATAAATCATACAGAACATTCAAAAAATATTATACACCATCGCATTCAAACACAGTATTATTTGAAACTCCAAAAAGTGTACTGCTTCATACTTACGTTTTGTGTCATATTCGTTGATATTCTACATCCAGATTGGCTTTATAGTTTCAGTTGATACTCATAATGAATATCTGCCTCTCCCTTATGATATGTGTCACATACATTAATATATTAATTCAAGTTTGGCTGTATGGTACCAGGAGATACTTATACTGAATATCTGCCTCTCCCTTACATTTTGTGTCACATACATTAATATATTAATTCAAGTTTGGCTGTATGGTACCAGGAGATACTTATACTGAATATCTGCCTCTCTTATGTGACACAAAATGTAAGGTATCTCCTGGTACCATACAGCCAATCTAGAAGTAATATATTAACATCATAATGAATATCTGCTTCTCCCTTACATTTTGTGTCACGTACCATGATATATTCCTTCCTGTTTGGATCCACTGTTTCAGAAGATACTCGTAATAAGTATCTGCTCGTGCACCAAGGGTTAGAGTAGAATGGGTACGAAAGTGGCCCTTATCAGCATTGATAAACATCGGCACTAGTCCATCTTTTTTAGGCAAAGTATGTAAGTATTTCGAAACATGGAAAGCTGCCTCCTGATAGGAAAGAGTCGGGAAGAAGTAATTTTCAAGATAAGAATACTTGCATTGTCTACCGCATTAAAGAAACCCAAAAAACATTACATATTTTGAATTGAACAGAAAAAACAAACAGATTTTACAAGTTATTAGAAAATTTTGCTAGTTTCAACTATATATTTATATATCATGTAATTTTAAGTGTTAATCCCATAAAAATTAATTTTCTGCTCAAAACCCACACATTTTGATCCAATTTCAAAATAAGTTTTACAAAAAAACAGTACATACATAGATACACTTGTGTAAAGAGGTGTATGATTATGAGTTGTTCTTGTTTAAATCCTTAACAATTGTGTGTATGTAGTTTTAGAGGGAAAATTTATAATTCATACTTCAGTACTCATATGCATTACACAGTAAATGCTAGTCACAAACAAGATTGATTAACAGCACATATAGGTAGTATTATTGTACACTACATATTCTGATCATATGCAATAGGATCTAAAAAAGTTTCCACACACACAAAGATAATCACTTCATATATATATATTAATCTTATATAAGCTGTCTGAATATAATGAATAAAAAAAAACAAAGTTACTCACTTCATATTTAGGACTGCCAGTGACTCGACTAAGGTCTCTAAACTCCAACTGTACAGTTGACACTTCAGACACCGAACTGTCAGAGCCCCAAAGAGGAGCATGAGCAAAGCCAGTTTTCAGGTTAACATCAGAATATGGAACGCCTGATCTAGTCTTGAAACAGGGCATCAGATGGTTGGCAATGTCCACCTGTCACAAAGCTCACAGCATTTAAATTGTTATGTAATGATGTAAAAATAACACTGAAATAATGTGATGCTCTACCTTATACGAACAAACAAAATATGCTAATGATAGTTAGCCTGATCTAGT